GTTGACAAAGTTTGAATACTCTCTGTATCAATAATAGCTTTGAAAATGGGAAAGTCAAGGTGTTCAGCGCCCACCTAACACAATTTAGGATAAGATAAGATAATCCTTTATTGTCATTGTAACATGTACAACAAAATTTTAAATTTTAAAGTGGCCTCTAGTCGGTACAGCAATAAAAAACATACCATATGAAATAAAACCATATAAAAACATAACTGCTATAAAAAAAATAAATAAATAAACAATAATCTCTACAATTATTTGGATTTTTCATATTTCATTATTTGATCTGATATTTCCTGATTTAATACCTGATTGGAATTAGGAAACTTCTAATGTTAGCCTTTATTTTATTTAGCCTAGACAATGTTTTTACTTAAAGGAGTATTCCACCAATTTTCCACCAATTTTTATCTTCCTCATTTTTTAATCCCTCTTAATTTGAGTCTGTAAAATCAGGGCAGTAACATGCTCCCGCCAGAACCAACTGACACTACATGTCAAATTAGCAAACCCTAAAAATAAATACACTTTTCCAAGACTAGAGAAAAGATTTGAAGATATGCTTGAGGATGTCTTCAGACTGTGACGTCAAGTAATTCATGGACTGCCAAAACCATACAAGCGACCATAGCTTGCCAAGCGTCCACAGAGCTGTTTGTATCCAAAGATCTGACAATCTGAGGCCTGTCAGAGGCTCTAAGCTGCTACAAACAAACACATTCACTGTTTTGATAGTGAAGTGCTATGCTCTTTAACAACATCAAACAAGCTCTTTAACAACATCAAACAAGCTCTTGAAATGTTTTAGTGGTTCAGTTATTTCCATTTACTCATAAATGATGACATGTTAGTTAAAAGGACCTCACGTTTTCATTTTGCCAGAGTATTTCATCTGAACCATGTATGAAACTGGAAAAGCAGCTCAAGTGGCAAGTGAGATGAAAAGATATAACATTCAAGTACTAGGAATCTGTGAGAGCAGATGGAATGGGTCTGGCATGACATCACTTGCCAGTGGAGAGAAAATCCTCTACTCGGGACATGCAGACGAGAATCATGACCACACAGAAGGAGTTGCCATCATGATGTCCCCAGTAGCAGCCAGAACCCTTATGGAATGAGGCCAGCCAGTCTCTCCTAGAATCATGACAGCAAGGTTCAACTCCAAGGGAAGAAATGTTACATTCATCCAATGCTACTCGCCTACTAACAACACTGATGCAGAAGCAAAGGAAAATTTCTACAATTCCCTGCAGACAGTGGTCAACGAGTTACCCAAGAGAGACATCAAGATACTGATGGGTGACCTGAATGCCAAGATAGGAAAAGACAACCTTGGAAAAGAATTAATTATGGGAACCCAGGCCCTTGGAAAAATGAATGAAAATGGCGAGCTTTTCACGGACTTTTGCGCTTTTAATGACCTAGTCATTGGCGGAAGTGTATTCCAGCATAAAGACATCCACAAAGAAACCTGGATCTCACCAGA